TGACTGGACCTGAGTATCTGCACAGCCTCATTGGGTCCCTGACGGGCCCTTGCTTCAGCTTCCAGACGTGGCCTGAGAAAGGCCGATTGATTGAATGATTCGACAAACACAAATCAGCTGCAAAGCTGTCAAAGCTATTCCTGCCAAGATAACTTATTTCCGACTTGGCTGCTCTCTTGAAGCAATGTATCCTTCCGGGTTTCCGACGGAAGCGAGGCCGATCGCAACATCTGCAGGCTTCGCCTGGTAGTTTGTTCTCGCGAAATCAAAACAGCAGTAGCCTAAGCAACCACACAATTTGAACGTATTATGCAGTGTCGGGTAGATTTACAAACCTCTTTGTCAGTAGATTATCACACCATGAGGAGTCTTGAACAGAACAAAGGGCCTCAATATGTCTCAATATAAGACTACTTTGAACTTGCTCGACAACAGGATGCTTGAACCCAAAGATTTTCAGCCTTTCAAATGACATACTTGTTGGAGGAAAGAATCCCCTGCGCATTCGAAGGAAGCAAACGTCCCCAAAGAGGCATCAGAAGCTGAGCTTCCGTTTTGCAGACAATCACCTTCAAACACCCTGGCTTTGACCAGTATTTTGACACACGTGCTTCTCTACAAGAGTGACTTTTCTGTCACGAGTCATTTCTGTGATTCCACGCGCGCGTTGCCGTGATTGCCGAGATTCGCGTTCTTCCACCAGGATCTGGTCCTGCCCACTACACATGCGAAGTCTATTGATCGTTACACGTGAGGGATGCTCAACCAAAAAAACAGCTGCAATTCTCAATGAGTGTCATATGATTGACCATACACGTTTGGGCATTTTAGATGGCATTTTTCCAGGTCATTTCAGTTCAATGGCTTGGGATTCTGCAACCCAAGTTGCATACATTGGAGTGGAGACCCGCCATGGCACTGGCCGAGCCTTACGACGAAGGGACGAATGCTTCACAAACGTGCTCCGGGTTTCATTCACTGAGCACCGGTCAGTGAAGGGCGAAGATACCAACACTCTGACGCACTCAGGAGACTACGCAAGGAGAGCAATAAATCATACAAGATACCATGCAGCACCGTCAACATTGCACGCTAGTCAAAATCATCCTTGATCACTAGAGAGTAGAGGCAAAACCATTACAGCCCTGTTGCGAAGCTTGCTGCACAACATGTCAAGGACTTTGCTCGGAAGGGCTGCTCTTCAGTGTCTTCTCCTGCATGGGGTGCCGCTTGCGTTGATACACATGCAATTCAACTGGTCCGGCCATCTTGGTGTTTCTTGTTGCTAAAACATGCTAGAACACTCCTACATTTGCCAATTAGCAAGGTGTGAGGCCTTCAATGCAGTCGCTTCGCCGCAAAGAATGCCCTTGCGCCTCACAACTGCAGCGCAAGAAGAAACCAAAGGATTTGTGGTGCTCCAACTCGCAAAGGACTGCCCTGTAGAAATGTATTTCTGCCAGGGGCAAGGCTAGAATAATGCTGGTTCAAATAACTACTTAACTACTCCCATGTCACAGGTCCATGTGTCACAACAGTCTGCGGACACTCCTTTATGAGAACTGGATGGTGGTTTCAGCAGAAGCCACTCACCACATCTGATTCATATGGCTAAGTCATACTGTATGGGTTTGGAATGGCCTTGAGTTCGTTTGGAGGATCTTCTTGACCAAAGCTGACCGAAACATACTCATACGGGACTTCCACCTACTTCCAACTCAATCTATGCGCTGGATTCGTAGCCTTTTGGGCATGACGTGTGTAGACCCCAAACCCTTGAAGTGTTAGAGCAACGGTTGCCAACACTTCATTGCCTGGGGCCGTGGTGCATAGACCGCCACAGGGACAGGCTTAGCTCTGAAGGGTGGCACCTTGCAAAACGCTTGCAAAACATCATGGCTTGATGATACGATTCGCGTATTGGCTCAAGGAAACACAACCAGACAAGATTGACAGTGCAAAGCCTGTGAAGTTAGTGCAGTCCGCGCTTTGACTTACAAGTGAGCATGCAACGACCAGTGGCCTCTGGTTCCTCTCGCAATAGTCCACGGCGGATGAGCGCTTCACGCTGTTCCCGGATCCGCTCCCCTTGTCCTCTGGCGTCGACACCGACCGCAGATGCAAACGCAGCAAGTTGATGTGACGCGTTGCAGTGGTACAAATCTGAACTGCTTTCCAATACATGGCACAACCTCTTCCGAGCGCGACGTCAACTCCAAACTGGGATCAGCGACTCTGCTCCCAGTAGGAGTCACCCATCAGGAAGCGTGGACCTGGACGTGAACAAGTGAAAAGGACCGGAGGCCGGAGACAATGATACCAAGGCACCTGTCTTGCGCAATTACTCATGCTGTCTGTGCCGACTTTGAAGTGGCTGGACTGAGGCACAAAATGGAGTCAAGGCAAAGTTGGATTCACCTCTTCCACATTGCTGAATGCTTCACCCAAATCCCAAACAAGTTGAAGGATCAACTTGCGCAAACAGAATGCTGAAATGGCTGAAACCTGCCTTCTGGAGGTTTCGGATAACTAGAGCCTGGGTGTTCGATTGCAGTAAGACATGTCTCCTTTCAATGTCTCATAGATGGAGAGAGGGAGATGAAAATGCTACTTCCCACACCTACTTGTGCATGGTTGTTGATGTGGAGGCCAACCAATACATGACCATTTTCTTATATAGACTTCAAGACTGATCATATTAAATTTGTGTTGATATATGTTGATATACAGTATGTTGATATATGTTGATATACATTATGTATGACTTGTGTGTGAATCTGATCTCCATGACCCGTGATCCGCGATTAGTCGATGCTTGTTTGCAAGGCCAAAAACTCGTCCAGCTGGAACCAGGTTTCTGACGGTTCATGGAGACGGCCCTTGTGGGTTTGCCGCCCAGATCCGCACCTTGCCTAAATGGCAAAGCAAGCATCAAATGGGAACTGTTTGACTAACACGTTTATGCGTCTGCGTCTTGCAACCTCCAAAGAATGGAAGCTCTGTCAGCCCCTTGCAAGTCTTTGACCTATGGGGACTCCTTCAACCAAAAGTCCTTCAGACTCCGAACGATGTGCACTCATACTGCTCAAACACCAGCTCTGCCTGTCCAAGAATCGCCGAGCGCCTGACACGACTATGGGTTGACTGATGCTTCCAGAGTTGTAAAGAACTCAAGAGGGAGACCACAACAGACCACATGCCATAGGCAGTATCTACACCATCGGCTGCTTGCAACTGATACTTATCTGAGCCAATATAGTTCCTGGTCAAACTTTATATCGGCGACGATGCGGAGCTCTTGCTTTCCACTCTCTCAATCCGCTCTTGCAGTGTTCGTTCCGTCACGGCTAGTTTGCTGGCAACCTCATTGACGCACTAAGGCACCTCTTAGACTCCTCTTTTCCGACTACTTTCCAATCAACACAGTCATCATCTCCATTCTCATCTTCGGCACGGGGCCTGCATCGACTTGAGCAAAACGCTGCTCCAGCGGAAGGTTTAGGCCTCGCTTGGCTTTGTTGGCAATGAGCAGCTCATAGCAGCTCAGTATGTGCAAATCGTCACAAACCGAGCTTGAACAAGTATTGGTCTGTTGTGTCTCAACCCTAAGGAGTCGTCCATGAGATGCGTAGGCAAACAACTCCAAAGAAGCAAACAAAAACTTCAACAGTCTGAGACAAACACCACCACGCGCTTCGTTGTGATAGGAGGCGTTGGTCATGACAGGTGCTATTGACAGGGGGGAATCAATATGTGGCCTACAAAAACCAGCCATGTCAAGCTATCCAAACGATCAGTACAACAGGACCTGACAGCTGATGACAGCTGACAGCATTTAAAACTTCAGCTGGGCGGCCATATTCTGATTCGACGGCGCGGATGCGCTCCTGCCACACAGGCTTGGTGACAATTGTTGACACTTTTTCCTGTATAAGAGTGCCAATTTTGTTGGAACAAGAAGGGCCAAGGTTCATCACTCAGAAAAGCACCATATGAAAGACCAGGTGCAAGAACAAACATGTCTTATGTCCTTGATCATTCTTTCATGACGAAGACACTAAAACTGACTTCCCTGGCCTGAAGATACCGAAGCGATGCTTCAGAGCTCTCTGGCGCCCAGCCTGCGATGGAATCTCCAGGGCTCTAAGGACTCGATGCAACTTGTGATGATGACCATTGATCATTGTCGTCAGCACTTCTGTTTCTCCGTGAATCGAATTGAACAGACTTATTGCCCTCGTTTCTTTCGGAAAACACACGGGTCCACCGGAACAGGTCGACCCCTGCGGCGCGCCGGTCGGCCCGTGTGCGTCAGAAAGGCGTCAAGGAAGTCGACCGATGTGAAAGGACAGATGAATCAAAATGAATCAGATGAATCATTGGATCGTCAAAGAAAAAACAGCCAAATAAGTTACAATCCAAAAAATGTTACAATGGACAAATGAATCATTGGATTTGCCATGATCTGCAGACATTCTACAGCCCATTAAGTTGGAATCAGTTACGCAATGAAGAGTCTTCGCGACTCTCTAAGCTCAGCTACCATAGTCTGCTTCAGCAGCTCGGACCCGTTCCTCCGGTCAGCTGCATACTGCTGAATCATAGTGAAATGCATTCTGCAAAATCATTGATCATGCAAGTCCACCAGTTGCTCTTGACCACGTCTCAGTTTTGAATCTTTTTGCCTCGAACCTTTACAAATCGTGAATGCAGGTGCTAGGAAGTTGAATCAAGATCCTCAACCATGGCCATGCCAGCGGTTTGCCTTGTCTGCTTCGTCCCTTCCAGTCTATTTGGAGTCCTCCAGTCTGTGACGAGCTTCTTCGTCTTGGCTGTGCCAGGGACTTGAACCTCCAGTCTAAGCTGAGCCGGCCGCGCTCGCCGCGCTCACCGCGCTCTTGATGAGACACTGTTTGAAGTCCAACATTGAAAGAAGGCGTCCCTTTTGGATCCGTGGCGTGTTGTCACGTTTGGATGCAACTTTCATAGGCCACACCAGTCTACTTTGTGAGTGCCAAAATGGCATCACATGCTCGTTCTACCATCGCGCTGGTGGCGTTTGGAGCATTTCCAGTAAAGAGCCTCCCAGATGCGTCAACACAAATCTCTCCAGGCTTCTTCCTTTCATAGGCGTGTAGCACATCCCGAAAACTCATCCAGGCACCATAGTAGGAAACAAACTTTCCGACTTCCCCCTCTTTGGGATGCAGCCATTTTGTCCCAATCAAGGCTTCTGGACCATGGCACACAGCCGCTGCAATGGGGGTTGAATCCATAATCGCTCGGATGGAAGAATCATTGATCATATAGTACGGGCACTGCCCTCCAGCTACAAAGAAGCCGTCGAAGCGCAGTGTTGTGTCAACCAGGTTGGCTGGGAGAGTGGGAACTTCACAGCAGCAGTCTTTTAAGGCATACATGGCATTCCCCCAAACCGTTTCACTCGTGACGCGCCGCATTTTAGTGCCACCACACCCCTCAGCTTCGCTGTGACTGATGAAATGAACATTGAACTGCAGCTTCGTCAAGTGGTTGATGATTGTGTATGTTTCAATAGGATCTGCAACATCATCCACAAAGAATGCCACTGTGGGCGCCTTTGGGTCCGATGTAAGGCAGCTCCTCTCACTGAACAAAGAACATTCCATTCACAACCTCAAATTACTCCACCCTACAGATTGCTGGACCGGAGCCAACATGAACAAATACAGAAACTCGCCGTTTGCCAGTCTGACATTCAGAATGGATATCCGAAAATAATCAAACAAACCCAGCTCCCAGAGCAATGCGCCATCTTTGCGGCATCAAAGCAGAAAGCAGTCTCCGTGGTACTTCGACGGATTGCTCGCAGAGACGGGGAACTCCGCGACGGTGCTTCCAGATTGACTGCGGCGAAGAATGGCTGCATGGTGGCCTTCCAGAGTGACACAGTTTCACCAACCTAAGAGCGATGGCCTCCAACCTCCGACATGGCTTGAACTCATGAATGCGCTCTGTCTCTTTTGTCTTCCAGGTCTGTCCTCTAAGTACAACTCAGGAAGCAGTCTATCAAGATCTATCAACTGTGGACCTATCTCAACGACACTGTAACACTCAACATGACAATATGCGTCTATTGCAACATGTCTGTCTCAGCCTGACCCCAGAAACTCGCAGTGACGAGAGTTCCATCAATGCAAAGAGGATCTCCGCTAGCTTCCACACCATGGATCTGCAGCAAATGCTCCTGTTGCTTGTCTGAGTTGAGACCACTGGAATTCATAGTGCAATGACTACATCTATAATTTGAACCTTTTCCACACCCTACCACATTCGCAACTCTAGCACCCTTTCCTCTGAGAATCAGCACAAAACTTACCTCTCCTGGTTGGGAAAAACTGCAGCTCTCTTGCCCCGAATGGGGCTGCTGTCTTTGCCCAGGGCCAAAAGTACGTCCAAGCCATGCCCAATGGCTGCAAACCGTGTTCCAAGCTCCATGCACCGGATAAGAGCAGCGCAAGCATCGCTTTGATCTGACAGCAAGGTAGCATTTAGAGTATGCGGCATCAAGCCACCTGGACAGATCGATTTCAGGACCACTTCAGATTCCCCGGTAGTGTCCGATACAATCGTTTTCTAAGTGTTCACCGAGAAGCAACACACATATTTTTGGGAATCCTCATGGAACTTGCTACATCTATGCTATCCATCTGCCCGAGCTTCTTCAAACTACCCCAGTGACTATGCTGCAGGGTGTTTGTCCTGCTCCAAATTAAGTGGCATTCCCCTGGCAGGAGCTCCCAGTCCCATGTCAAGGAGCGGAGTCTGGTCAAACCTCTTAAGGCACACGCAAAGGGCCCAAAACGACAAGCCCACACCTGTGAAAAACACCGTGGTCAGCTTGAAGCTCTCGCTAATTGCAATGGCACCTTGCTGCTTGTTCTTGGGATCAAACATCTCCTGCCGTGCACTTGCAAACAGCAATTGATGTTTAAACTCGACACACATATTCAAATATGTATTGTTTGAGATTCTGATGTTTCAAGCAAAACTACTCCTATCTATCAGAGTCTATCTTGCGTATCATGTATATTGATTTATACAATTACAATTCGTCACTTTTTTGCTCCTTTGGCACTAGAGCAGGCTCACCACTGACTGTTGTTGATAGCACATAGTTCACCTTGTGCCAAATGCGAATGCCTTTCCATCTTGGATCCAATCTCCTCTGCTCCAAGGCGTGCTCAAAATCGTCCAGAGCTGTGAAATGCCACCCACCATTGAAGGGCGGCGGATTTCCAAGAAATACATACTGCTCGTCAGAGGCCTCGTTCTTTTGACTCGAACACAGTTCATCGTAAGGGCTCGAACATGGCCATGAACAGTCCCTTGCAGCCCCAGCCATGTGTGTATAGAGTCTAGATATAACTAATATGTCTAGATGATAATTAATACAGTTACAGTAGATGCATAGTCCAAACCATAGCACACATGGTGGCTACTCAAAGCCTCCAAATGCTGCAGCAGCATGCCAATTTGCATGCTATCACCCTTGAAATCCACCAGCAAACCATGGACTGGCTTGCTCCAATCAATTTCATTGTGCTGAAATCCAGAGAAAAATCGATTCTCCACGGCTATACCCACAGGTGTGGTCTCTGAGCGATCACAGAACTGATGGAAAAGCTCGGCTGCTCTTGGGTCGGCAGGTGGCTTGCCAGTACCAATGCCATGGGTCTCAAGAAGCTTTTCCGCTTCTGCTTCCAACCCAGCACTCATGGCGGTGAGGTTGAAATTTTCTAACAAAGCAAGCACACCCAGGTTGCACCCCATTTTGCCTGCTTGGATCTATTGAATTGGATGAGGAAATTCAGCGGTCTCTGATTGCAGATTTTAGAACGTTGTGAGGATGCGCTGCTGGAGAATCGATGGTCTCCACCTGACTAGGTCATGATGCAGGTCAGATTGATCCTTCAGCAGCTGGTTTAGCTTCGGAGAGTTCAATTTGAAGCTAACGATAGCAAACGTGCCTTGGCCAAAAGCTTATCGACTACTGTAGCGTCTGCAGGCTTTGCACTCTGCACCAGTTGTAAGTTACAGAGATTGATAGAGCTAGGAAGAAGAAGCTACTAGTACGAGTAACAAGGGCTAGAAGCTACTAAGGACTATATCATAGTAGCTCCTGGCATGACTACTAGGAACAAGAAGCTTCTGGCTGCCCTTGATCCGAAAGCATTCGCCTTGATGATCGAAGCACGATGCCCTGAGAGCCCCGGACGTCGCAAAATGCCTGGCTTTGGGCTTGGAGAGGCCAGCGCGCCACGCTCCAGACCCTGAGGGCTTGGGTAAGCGCTGGAAAATGCTGGAACTCTCTCCGATTTGGCCACTTGAGGCTAAGATTGGCAAAGTGTGTGCTCCAAAAGCCAAATGATAGCTGGGCAATGAAGCATGGCTTTGAGCCAGTCATTCCAACGTTAAATTGGAGCATGTCTTGCCTCTGTCACAGGTGCCCTAGGAGACGCAGATCTGCCAGTGCCTCAAAAGCAACACGTCAAGGACAAGTACGCTGTCTGTAGATGTCAAGCAATTGGCCTTGCCCATCATTTTCAGGAGGATCTGCTCCTACGCGGACCTGACAGCAGGCTAGACTCCTTGACCACATGAAAAGATCCTCTTTGCAGTTTTTGAAGTTCTCGCGACAGTCATTTATTTTTGTCAATGTAGAGCCTCCAAAAGCGGTTCTTGAAACAAAGCCCGCAAGCGGTCCGCCTGAAGCCAGTGCGGAAATCGCGCCCAGGAACCAAATCAATCGCCCAAGCCCTTCTGCATCCAGACTCTCGTAGCTACTTGAGCACGACAGCTTACCTATCTCTACTCCCCCTTCCTCCTCAAACAAACAACAAAACAAAGAAAGAAAGCACACAAAGGAAAGGCATGAACACCGAACTCCGTGCAAACCACAGAGTCTTCGCTCCTCCTGGTTGAGGCGCTGTTGCAACTCAGCATCGGTTACACCGCTGTCCACCTTACGATTGTGGTCCAACCAAAGCTTTTGGGCCCCAAAGGAGAGGATGAGCAAGGGGTGAGTCTCGAGTGGTTATCATCTTCTGCTGCGTGCTAAAGGCATTGCTTCCCTTTCCAGGCTTGGCCATCGCTAGTTACAAGACATTACAAGATTTGCAAGCAAAAGCCGCAAGGAAGTTCTACATAGGAATAGAAATAACCCTGGAACCACTGCAACACATAGTGATGCGTGCCACTGCACGCTAGTCAAGCTGCTGAGCAGTATACACGTCGACACACGAGGGATTGCAATTGTCAGAATGAACCGGCCCCGAAATAAACAATGTTTCTTTTTGGTGAGTAGGTTTGGCGAGTGTCCCATTGTCCAACCAGTTTGTACAATAAATTCTTGTTTCCGAGTTCTTGGGGATTGGCATGGACTAGCTGCGAATTGCAAATTAGTCACCCAACAAACTATCATTGACCTTCTTGGCGAGGAACTTCCCACCAGGTTCAACTTAGTCTGCGGGGCCCCTTAATGAAGTGTTGTTGACTCCTTTTTTACCGCAGCAAAGAGCGGCCATCGATCTCAGGCAAAGGAAGTCCCGAAGGATGTCTTGAATATGCACTCCGTGTGCGTGGCTTAGCCACAGGCACACGACTTAATTGAGGTGCAATGACCGAAGGCTGCAATGGCTGGAGCTGCAATGGCTGAAGTGTAGGAAGCTCCTGGATTTCTCGATGCCTTGCAGGTGCACTCTGCGTCTTCCGCTTGCCCCGGAGGCTGTGTCGACAAATTGGACAAGCGCCAGCTTTGGTCAGCAGCCATCTCTCCAAACAAAGCTGATGAAACGCATGCGGGCGACATGTGCTTGACTTCCCATGGGAGCCTCCACAGGGCAAAGACAGGATATCATCATCAGCCGTGATTTCAATCATGCAAATTGAGCACTCAGCACTTTCCGCATCTTCATCAGGAGAACGCCGCAAGAGCTGCAAAATCGTCGAACCTTTCACTGAGAACGATCTGCGTATGGCTTGAAGCTCTGCTGAGGAAAGTGGGAGTGAAGGAAGCCTGGGCAACGCTGCCATGGAAGGAGAGGAGTCTCCTGCCACTGGGGACGCATCAGAACGGCGCTGTCGGATAAGTGTTGCTACAGCATGGCGGTTCCTTTGCTCATGATACCAAGCTGGATCGGGTTCCCTTGGGTCGTTTGCCCAAGGGTTCCCACGAGCCGCTAGGAGAACGAGCGCCACCTCTTCAGTCGCCGCGTCATGTAGTGGAGTCAAAGCTCGCAACTGGCCGTGACGACCTGCTACAGCAGCACGAGCTTCAAGCAAATGACGCACAACGTCCACGGCGCCTGCGGAACTAGCAGCATGTAGTGCAGTCGTAGCTCTCAAAAATCCTGGCAATCGGACATGCGCTTCTAAAGCTGCATGATGCAATGCCGTCTCTACTGCTGATAGGTCTCCAGCAGCTGCAGCCGAGACCAAGCGAAGGTCTTCCGGACGCTTGCTCACCTCGATCGTGTGGGCTATGGTGGGTCCACCACCAGGCTGAAAGAGCGACGGCTCTGGCAGTGCCCAAGAGGCGGAACGTTCCAACGGTCCAGCGCTGGAGAACAGGGGGCCACGTCGCATGGCGTCAAACACGGAGGGCCGGGGGGTTGGAGGGGTCCATTCTCTGTGTCGAAGCAAATTGGAACCTAGCCATGACTGCCACTGCTTGACCACCACAGTGAGACTTTGCAACACCTCTTCATATGAATGTGTCCTTCTAATACATGAACACATGAACATGTATAAGTTATAACATGTTATAACTCTAACAGCTCAACGAAACCAATGACTCTGGGATACTTGAGAACGCCAAATACCTCATCAGGACTCAAGCTTTGACAGCAAACTCTTGCAATATCTTGCATTCACCTCCTTCACCTTGAAGCGGGGCTTCATCGAAATGTCACAACTTTACATCAATTTCACTAACATTTGTCTCATCCAACGAAACAAACACACTTTATTGAAGAAGCACAGTATAAAATCGTTGGTTTCGCCCATGCATGCCGCCTCCACAACAAACTCTAAGTCCAGGGAGCCTCTCCTGGGATGTGCCCATGCCCTTCACTCACACTTTGTAGTTGCAATAGAAACGTTGTGTCGCCCAGCTATGTCATCAATCATCTTCAAACTTCAAACATTTCAATCATCCCAATGCTTTGCAATCTACAGTTCTACGCTTTGCGCGTAGGGTTCTCGGAGATTCCTGCAATGCTGACTTGCAGAGTTCCCGCCAGCATCCGGAGTAATGGCTGAACATGCCAACGAATGCACGTCCTCACACGCTGCAATCGAAGATGCTGTGGAGAAGACAGCCCAAGCACCTCAAGCGTCAACGTGTGTTTTATCACTTGACTGTGAATAGATGGTGGGCCAAGCTACCGAGATTCAAAGGCTGGTGTGTTTTTGCTCGAGCAACTACCGCAAAAGCCCAACGTATTGACCATAATTGGAGTGTGTATCAATGAGGATAAGCTGCAGAAACAGGAAGTAGCTCCCAACAGCCTACCAGAACCATATGTAGCCGCATCAAGCAAGTTTGAAGAGACAGGAACGCCGAAGGCACAGTTAGGAACAAACACGGTGGCGCTCAATGAGTGCGCGACAGTGGTTGCAATGGCCTGGTGCGGATGCAGGCTTTCTTGTTGAAAGGTTGTTGAGGGTGCGTTCAGGACCCAAGACAGGTGGTGATGGTGGTGGTAGTCACGGTGGCGATGGTAGCAGTGGTAGTGGTCATGGTCGTGGAGGTGCTAGGTAGTGGTGGTAGTGGTCGTAATCATTGTCGTAGTAGTAGTCGTGGTGGTGGTGATGGCGGCAATAGTAGCAATCGTAGTAGGAATAGCAAAAGTACGTAATTAATAGCAATGGTCTGTCGATCATCTGCAGGACCTGGATTCTAGATTCTTGATAAATCTGCATCTCATTGGGAATTCCAAGCCAAAGACCTGTGGCATGTGTAGAAAAGCTGTCATTGCTATATTTGCAAAGGAAAGCGCTGGTATTCCAAGTGCAAGAAGCTGTATTCTTCATTGCAAAAAGTGGTAGAACCGCTCCTACTATCTGCATATACCCATACACTATATTCGAGTGTGGTATCAATCAACGACCATGAAGCGACTGGGATTCAACGCGGGGATGGCAAACTCGCTTCTGAGACATTATATACAGTGTTGATGATAATGCCATCAAGCATTGTACATTGTAACAATTGTACAACAGCACAACATGTTTCTGTACATAGCATGTAGATGCTTAAAGTAATTCACCGGCATGGTAGCGATGTCACTACAAACTGCAAATACTATGACTACGAATTCACCATCTCGCCTTCCGCCAGTGCTGCAGCTGTGACAGAGCATCATCTCGTCGAAAAAACTGGTCAAAGTCCACGTCAAGGCGCACGCCCAATGTGAACGGAGCAAGTAGATGGCTCACATCAGCTCTCATCTCCTTGCAATCCAAAGACTCAACTGAAAGAATGTGGATGGACGCTTCTTTCCATTTCCATGGAATGGATGCCAACATGTAAAAAAAGGGTCAGATTCATCTCCCACCAGCTCCTACCCAAATGTACTGACTTTGTCTTGCGGTGCAATCGCCTGACATACAGAACTTCGCAAGAGTTGCTCTAGCTCGAATGATCTAAGCAACAGTCCGCAACAGTCCTCCTGAGCCATGGAAGGAGGCTTCGCACACGTCTTGGGCTTTTTAGGAGCTCAGTATGTTCAATACACTGCTCCCTGGGGAGTGCGAGTGTCTCCCTTATCTGCCATGAGATTGCGTGCTCATGGATGATGTAAGCTCTAGACTACCAGCAAGATGTGAAGCTTCATTGCTCCTGCCGTGTCTCATGCCGCAAAGCCTTAAAGAGTCAAATGCACAGATCATAGCTGGACTGTACACCAGAAAGCTGTCAAAAAGTCATGGCTGGTGATGACATGTTCGAAGCAAACATCTCCAGCCTTTTGGGCAGTTGAAATCAGTTGAATATACTGTAACTGGTGTTTTGTCGCGTATCTACTTCAGAGTTCATTTGACCTTCGCCTGCGACTGGTCCTTTTTCATCCAAGCCCGCAAGCAACAGGTGGGGTGGAGTCCCAGCCTTTTGGCTGGTCCTCTTATTGCTGAACAGCTCTCTGCACCGCTTCTTCGCTGGCAACCCATTCAGTTCCACGAGTCTGTGTGCGTTTTCTAGCCTGGCGCGTGGTTTGCATTCTGATTGAACAAAGGGAACTCTTTTCAAGCACGAGTTCAGGCTCCAGTTGAGGTCAATAGACCTTGCACGTCTGTTCACTATTGCATCGTTGTCACTAAGGCAGGGCCAGGTAAGGCTAGTTTACACTTGGCCACCAAAGTAACATATGTTTTGCCCGTGAGAGCTGGGAGCTGTAGTCCCGTTTTGCTGAACATGATCGCCCATGATAGAGCAACGCTGGACCAATGCTTGCTTGTTGAACAAATGATCCCGGCCAACTTGTTTATATACAGTAATTGCATGAATTGGGGACCTTGAGATGGACCCCGAGCTTGGCGCACTGGCCATTTCAATCAATGTTGCCATCAGTCTCTGGTTCAACCATTGTCAAGCTCTACCAGCTTCTAACTGGTGAATAATGCTAGGGATGAGGTTTCCAGTCAGCAGAACAACACCACTCCAATGGATGAACTCTGAAATGGACGACATCAACCAATATATATATATATACTTTTTATGCATGGATTGCACAGCATGCTGCCGTTCCAGCCTCTCTGGCATTTTCTCTCGTGCGGGAGAACACCTCTGCTGTTGGCAGGTGCTCTTTCCCCTTTGGTCTGTGTTCGTGCAGGTTTGAACTCTGCTGGCACAATGCCTTTTTGTCCGGAAGCTCCATCAATATCTGTTTCACCAATAGCTCATCCATGCAGAGTCAGATATACATGATCATAAAGAGCGGCCAAGCTGACGGTCATAACATGTGTTCAACCGTTCAGGTTCCAACAAACTCGTTCCGACGTTGCCGCTGTCGGACGCGCCGGTGTCGACCTGAGTGGGACGGTTCATCTCGATGTAAAATCAACAAATCAAAGACGTGTTTGCAACATTCAGACTTGAATAACACTGCACATTTCATAGTTGCCACGCTAGTAGGTTGGAGGCCATTGCTCTTAGGTTGGAGGCCATCGCTAGTAGGTTGGAGGCCATTGCTAGACAACGAGTCTTGAATAACTCTGCACATCTCATAGGAATCTATCTAATGGACCTTTTCGGCAATGTGCTTTCCAGATTTCCTGAAGGCCCAGGCAACGGTTGCCGCGTACACTCACGACCTCACCGTCTAGGCCCATGTTGGGTGCCTTGGTGGACTGCCACTGTGTAGAAATGCATGCCTCAAACACACCCACAGCCACTTTGGCCGCACATATCATCCTTATATGGTTTGGACACCGGACAAAACCTGGTAGATATAAGATGATATATAAGCTAGTTAACCTACCATGTCGTACTTCTCTTCTATCGCTCCGGATCCAGTTAGCAAATGTTCTCGGGCTCGAGCAAGTGAAAGCACATGAAGTGACTCTTTCAATGGCTGATTGCAACAACCAATTGCAAAGGTTGGTACTTGCTCCAAAAGAATACGTACGTGGGGTGTCCAACAACTCCTTCCTGAGACGAATGTCTTCCGTGATCCTTCCACGTTCTTTGAAAACATCACAGACTTTTGCGCGCATCGTTGTGCCCTGCTGCACTGCTTGAACGATGTCGTTACATGTGTGCACACCTTTCCCTTGCCTTCATTGTCATGTCCGAAGACAGGTTTAATTGTGTATGATTTGTAAGCCTTCATCAGGGCCGTTGCTGCCTCCATATCAGCAAACAAAAAGAAACATCATGGGAGTTGGAACCAGGGGGCACTGTCCCCGTAACGGTTAGGGTCAACTCAAAGAACTGGGCCAAAAGGTTAGGACACGAAGTGGTGAGCGCTCGATCAATGATTGGGGGCTACAGTGCTCGATCAATGCTAATGTTCTTTTGGGGGTTTCACGCTTATTTGTTTTCAGAATTTTGTCACTCAAACATGCCCAAAACAACTTGGGCCGTGGAGAGATGATAGAACTTTGATGAACTTTGCATTGTTTTGGCTGGTCATCCTTGTCAGAGGCCCCCCCTGTGTTGCCTTCCGCATCAGGAAGCTTGGAATCTCAAACACCTCAAACATGTTTCATATTCTTTCTGTTCATCTTTAGTATATATATCCGGCAAACCGCCAAACAGGACTAGTGGATCTCGCGGTGCAACGGATTATAGAGTACTAATTCTAAGATCTCTAAGGCCCTAAGGTTCTTCGTTGAAGCCAGCCAAAATGTGGATGCGCCATTTACAAGCAGTGCCTGCAAGATCATGTCCTTGATTGGAATGTCAAGATCTCCCCAAAGGTTCGTGACCTGACAATCCACTCAATTCAGTGTCATGCACGGTGAAAGTCTATAACTGTTGGACAGCTAATGCACTTAATGCACTTCCAAGTTTCCTGCCTGAGACTTGTTGGCTGCACGAGTGGCCTAGGATCTTTCATATCGAGTCTAGAGAAGTGCCATTGAATGAATGTTCTGTAGTTTTCAACCATATGCTCTCTGCAACTCATATTAGGCTTTCAATGG